TGTATGGTTAGACAGTGTTAAAGCGGTAGTAAACCGCATCCATTATATATAATAAAAAAAAAAAAAAGTTCCCTGCAAGGTAAAGACATAATGTGCTGGTATGTATTGCACGATGACGTCACTCCCGCGCAAATAGAAGAAAAAAAAAAAAAAGATTACAACCACTTTAACACACTTAAAGAATTCCAAGGAAAAAAAAAAAAATTCCTATGCAGTAGGGCTATGCCGGCACTGCATAGGTTAACTGCTCCTCTTTTTTGTCTAGGGGTTAGGAGAGCGGAGATATATATCTAACTCCTGTGCAAGACCAGCCCCTGCTACTCCTGGTTTCCCTCCCCACACACTAGCAGACTTGTGAATTGGACTGTTCCTGATGTCATTACACCCATAGACCATCTGTGGACATGAGGACGGCAGGAACAGTCCACCGCTGGACGTAGGGGAGCGCTGTTTTTTTAAGAGGATTGAAGGATTGGGTGAGAATAGCCTCTCTGTGCTCCCCCTGGCTAAAACCAGCAATTAATCATTTTACCCCGGTACAAATCATTAGTAAGACCTCATATGGAATATGCAGTTCAGTTTTGGGCACCAATTCACAAAAAGAACATTGGGGAACTGGAGAAAGTACAGAGAAGGGCAACCAAACTGATAAGAGGCATGGAGGAGATGAGCTATGAGGAAAGATTAGAGGAACTGAATTTATTCTCTCTTGAGAAGAGGAGATTAAGGGGGGATATGATCTCCATGTATAATACATAAGGGGGGGATATGATCTCCATGTATAATACATAAGGGGGGGGAATATGATCTCCATGTATCATACATAGGGGGGGGGATATGATCTCCATGTATCATACATAAGGGGGGGGGGATATGATCTCCATGTATCATACATAAGGGGGGGGGGATATGATCTCCATGTATCATACATAGGGGGGGGGGGGATATGATCTCCATGTATCATACATAAGGGGGGGGGGATATGATCTCCATGTATCATACATAAGGGGGGGATATGATCTCCATGTATCATACATAAGGGGGGGATATGATCTCCATGTAGAATACATAAGGGGGGATATGATCACCATGTAGAATACATAAGGGGGGATATGATCACCATGTAGAATACATAAGGGGGGATATGATCACCATGTAGAATACATAAGGGGGGATATGATCACCATGTAGAATACATAAGGGGGGATATGATCACCATGTAGAATACATAAGGGGGGATATGATCACCATGTAGAATACATAAGGGGGGATATGATCACCATGTAGAATACATAAGGGGGGATATGATCACCATGTAGAATACATAAGGGGGGATATGATCACCATGTAGAATACATAAGGGGGGATATGATCACCATGTAGAATACATAAGGGGGGATATGATCACCATGTAGAATACATAAGGGGGGATATGATCACCATGTAGAATACATAAGGGGGGATATGATCACCATGTAGAATACATAAGGGGGGATATGATCACCATGTAGAATACATAAGGGGGGATATGATCACCATGTAGAATACATAAGGGGGGAATGATCACCATGTAGAATACATAAGGGGGGATATGATCACCATGTAGAATACATAAGGGGGGGATATGATCACCATGTAGAATACATAAGGGGGGATATGATCACCATGTAGAATACATAAGGGGGGGATATGATCACCATGTATAATTACATAAGGGGGGATATGATCACCATGTATATTACATAAAGGGGGGATATGATCACCATGTAGAATACATAAGGGGGGGGATATGATCACCATGTATATTACATAAGGGGGGATATGATCACCATGTATATTACATAAGGGGGGATATGATCACCATGTATATTACATAAGGGGGGATATGATCACCATGTATATTACATAAGGGGGGATATGATCACCATGTATATTACATAAGGGGGGATATGATCACCATGTATATTACATAAGGGGGGATATGATCACCATGTATATTACATAAGGGGGGATATGATCACCATGTATATACATAAGGGGGGGATATGATCACCATGTATATTACATAAATAATACATAAGGGGGGATGTGATCACCATGTATAATACATAAGGGGGGATATGATCTCCATGTATAATACATAAGGGGGGATATGATCTCCATGTATAATACATAAGGGGGGGATATGATCTCCATGTATAATACATAAGGGGGGGATATGATCTCCATGTATAATACATAAGGGGGGGATATGATCTCCATGTATAATACATAAGGGGGGGATATGATCTCCATGTATAATACATAAGTGGGGATATGATCTCCATGTATATTACATAAGGGGGGGGGGATATGATCTCCATGTATAATACATAAGGGGGGATTCAGCCAGACTATGTAACCCATGTAGTGTAGGGCAGGCACAGCCCCACTGCATAGGAATAAAAAAAATTCCCGGAGACCTGCTTTAAGAAAAACACTATCTGTATGATTTTGTCATAGCGCATATGTCCTGGGTGTTCAAATGTTAAGGGTCAGGGGTCAGTGTCCAAAGCAGTTGTTGGGGATAGAAAAAGGATGGTTGGCCTAGAAAAAAAAAGAAAAAGGAATGAATTTCTGATTTGAGCCTGCTGGCCACTAGAGTGGACTGAATGGCTCCTGAACGCTGCTGCCACTTGTTCACCCCAGAAGAAGCACCAATACAACGGACACGGCCTATGTCCCGACTGGCAGGGAGTTAAGTAAAGATTAGTGAGAAGACAAGATCTGCCATCTCCCCAATTATCCCGAGTTATCTGCTGGCTGCTGCTGTAATCACTGCAGATTATGTCTTTAATTATGCCTAGTGCAGATTACTACACAACGCAGATTTCATAACCGCTGCCCGCCGTCTGACACCGTGCCCTTAATACACGACCGCTCTACCAAAATCTTCAGCTTTTATTGTAACCCAAATTAAAAAAACCACGGCCACCCAGAACTCAGTGATGTGACTTTCCTAATGTACTGCTAAGGTTTGGATGAACTAAAGTGAGTTATGGTAACATACTGCAGTGGGAGAGTTTTGCAGCCCCAAGGCCCTGTTCACACTGGTGTGCTGCTATGTCGCCTACAATGCCAGAATCTGCTGTGCAGAAGCAGATCAGAGAACATCCGTTCCCCAATCTCCCCTGCAATGAACGGGAAGCCACGTGTATTACATTACTTCCAGATTCAGAGCAGGCTTTCCTACTGTACTCGATTAGCTGCCATCACCCAATGCTATCACATAGAGCAGTGGTATCCAAACTGCGGCTCATGGGACAGACACAGCTCTCGGCTTACCTTAATTGGGCCCTTGAGGCACCATTTTTCCCACCGATACATGGCACTGCTCCTCATAATGACACCAACAATGGAGCATTGTTCCTCCCACCGATCCCAAACGATGGGGCGCCATTCCTCCCACCGACCCCAAACGATGGGGCGCCATTCCTCCCACCGACCCCAAACGATGGGGCGCCATTCCTCCCACCAAACGCCAATGATGGTGCACAATTCTTTCCATCGACATCAAAGATGAGCCACAAATTCTCCCACCGACACCAACGAGGGGACACCATTCCTCCCACCGAGGGGACGCCATTCCTCCCACCGAGGGGACGCCATTCCTCCCACCGACATCAATGAGGGGACGCCATTCCTCCCACCAAGGGGACACCATTCCTCCCACCGACACCAATGATGGGACCGAATTCCATTCACGGATACCAATGACAGAGCATTATTCCTCCCACTAATAATGATGGGGCATTATTTACTCCCACTGACTCTGGGGCATTTCCTGCAGGCCACAATCCAACCCTACTAAATACATAAGGATATGAAACTGGCCCTTGTTTAGAAAGATTGGAGACCCCTGACATATGGGGGTTGTTAGCCCTCCTTGTGATAGCAGCAAGTTGTTGATGGGATGAGGACAATCCCGCACTGCTCATGAAATCAGAGCAAAGACTCTGCGCAGGCCAGTCAAGTTCCTCCACCCCAAACTGGCTCCTCCAGGTCTTTATGGACCTTGCTTTGTGCACTAATGCGCAGTCACGTTGGAACAGGAAGGGGTCATCCCAAACTCTTCCCACAAAGTTCGGAGAATGAAATTGTCCAAAACGTCTTGGTATGCTGACACCTTAAGAGTTCCCTTCACTGGAACTAGGGGGCCAAGCCCAACCCCTGAAAAACAACCCCCCCGCCATAATCCCCCCTCCACCAAAACTTTACACTTGGCACAATGCAGTCAGGCAAGTACCATTCTCCTGGTCACCGCCAAACCCAGACACGTCCATCGGATTGGCAGACATGAAGCATGATTGGTCACTCCAGAGAACACGTCTCCACTGCTATAGAGTCCAGTGGCGGCGTACTTTACACCACTGCATCTGACACTTTGCATTGCACTTGGTGATGGAAGGCTTGGATGCAGCTGCTCGGCCATGGAAACCCATTCCATGAAGCTCTCTACGCACTGTTGTTGTACCAATCTGAAGGCCACACCAAGTTTGGAGTTCTTTAGCTATTGACTCTGCAGACAGTTGGCGACTTCTGCGCACTGTGCGCTTCAGCATGCGCTGACCCCGCCCTGTCATGTGACGTGGCCTACCAATTGGTGGCTGAGTTGCTGTTCCCAGTTGCTTCCACTTTGTTATAATCCCACTAACAGTTGACCGTGGAATATTTAGTAGCCAGGAAATGTCACGGATGGACTTATTGCACAGGTGACCACCTATCACGGGACCACGCTTGGAGTCACTGAGCTCCTGAGAGCGACCCATTCTTTCACCAATGTTTGTAGAAGCCGTCTGCATGCCTAGGGGCTTGATTGTATACACCTGTGGCCATGGAGGGGATTGGAACACCTGAATCACATGATTGGGAGGGCGGGCCCAATACTTCTGGCAATATAGTGTATATACACATCCAGGAGTCATCACTCTGCTCCATCCCCCCAGGCCTGCCTCACCCACCTTTAGATATGACTTGGACCAGCTCCTTCTCCTCCTCGGTCAGCTCCCCCTTCTTGGGCGCCATGCTTCTCCCTCCTATAGATCAGCTGTCAATGTATACACGGCTCTCACGCTGACAGCACGTCCACCTCAGTCCGCCATCTGTAGTACTGGCAGCCCTCAGTGTGTGATTAGCCCGCCCTCCGCACCGTCCAATGTGCTGGGGGGAGCCCGATCCTTGTACGCCACCTTATACCGTGGAGGAGGTCTTCCTCACAGCCTATCAGTGAGCTCCTGTCCTATCCTAATTATATTGCTCTCGTAGTGGGGTGTGGGGGAGAGAAGCCCGGAGATGAGGAATCGTCCTCCCCTGTTTCTCTGAAGCATTTGGTCTGGTCCGCCGATCTGCGCGCACTGCTTCTGCTGCCAGAGAGTCAGTCTGAGCGGCGGCTGTCCTTTACAGGTGTCCTATTGTCTGCCCGAGAGTGACCCCAGCCAGCCCAACAGACTCAGGTAAGAGCGCCAGTCCTAACGGGACACCGAGCCGGCTACATCGATATACACCGACTATGGACGCCGCGGCAGACTGATACATTGTATTCTGTCATCACTAATCAGAATATTACCTGTGGGGTGCCGTCAGCAGGCATTCCCTCCGGGCTACCTAGAATACCAGCAATGGACTGCATCTGTAGGACCCCTCCTTGTCAGAAGGCTGTTCTATGATATTATCAGCAATAATGAGAAGATTATTATTTTTAATATCTGGTGGAAAAAATTAAATTTTTAGGCCGTAAAAAAAAAAAAAAAAAAAAGTAAAAATTTTTTTTTCATATATATCTATATGACAAATCCATACAACAAAATAAATCACTTCCAGGCAGAGTTGATGTTGATGATGTTCTTTTTGCCTGGGGTTGTGTTTTTTTTATTTTTAAATTTAAAAAAAAAAAAAAAATATATATATATATATATATATATATATATATATATATATATATATAATTTTTTTTTTTTTTATTTAAAAATAAAACAAACACAACCCCAGGCAAAAAGAACAACATCATCTCTCTCTCTCTCTCTATGATTTGAGATAGAGATTTGTGGGGTTTATTGTATTTGATTTTTTAAGACCCAGCAGTGTAAATTTTACATTTTACATTTATTAATTTTTTTACCTTACCTTTACAATTTTTTTTTTTTTTGCCCCATGCTGTTTGTTTTGTATCCTGGTAAATATCACCAGCAGTGATTATCATCATCTGTTGTTGTTGATGACAATATTATTACTTTTTTTATGTTATTATTTATTGCCTGATGGTAAATATTATCATCAGCTGATATTTACAGTTATTATTAGCAGCAGCAGCTATTATTATTACTTTTTTTTTACCTTACCTTTCCAATTTTTTTTTTTTTTTTTTTACCATGTTAGTTTTTTATCCTGGTAAATATCATCAGCAGTGATTATTATCATCATTATTATTATTATACAGTATTTATAAAGCGCCAATAGTTCGCTCAGCACTGTACATTACAAAGGGGGACAGAACATGTGACAGAACAATACCAATACAATGCGATACATGAGGGGATCGAGGGCCCTGCTCTTTCCAGCTTACAATCTAGGAGGGGCATCATCATCATCATTATTATTGTCATCAGCAGTGATTCTTATCATCAGTTATTATTATTAGCAGCAGCTATTATTATTACTTTTTTTTTATCTTTTCCATTTTTTTATTTTTTATTTTTTCACCATGTTGTTCGTTTTTTTTTATCCTGGTAAATATCAGCAGTGATTATCATTATCTGTTGTTGTTTATCATAAAAATATTATTATTATTAATATTTTGTAATCTTAACTTTCCAATGATTTATTTTTTATTTTTCTGCCCCATGTTGTTAGTATTTAATTGCATGATGGTAAATATCATCCGGTGATATTTACAGTTCTTATTAGCAGCAGCTATTGCTATAACTTCTTTTTTACCTTTCCAATTATTTTTTATTAATTTATATTTATTGACCCTTGTTAGTTTTTATTCATCTGGTAAATATAATCAGCAATGAATATTATCATCATCTGTTGTTTTTAATAATAAAATATTATTATTATTATTATTATTACTTTTTATTACCTTAACTTTCCAATGATTTTATTTTTCTCTCCCAAGTTGTTAGTTTTTAATTTTCCTGATGGTAAATATCATCAGATAATAATAATATTTACAGTTTTTTATTATTATTAGCAGCAGCTATTATTAATACTTTTTTTTACCATACCTTTCCAATTATGTTTTATTTTATATTTATTAGCCCTTTTTGTTAGTTTTTAATCCTCTGATGGTAAATATAATCAGCAGTGATTATTATGATCAATTGTTTTTAATAATAAAATATTATTATTATTAATAATAATGATGATACTTTTTATTACCTTAACTTTCCAATGTTTTTATTTATTTATCTCCCCCATGTTGTTAGTTTTTAATTACCTGCTGGTAAATATCATCAGATAATATCTACAGTTATTATTAGCAGCCGCAATAATACTTTTTTACCTTACCTTTACAAGTATTTTTTATAACATTTTTTATGGCCCCATGTTTTTAGTCTTTACTCTGATAATAAATCTCATCAACATCCTCTTTGTTTGGAGCAATTTTTTTTTTTTTTTGGCTTCAAAATGTTGCTTATTTACTCTTGAACAGTGTACATTTTTAAATTCTGTGCCACCAGCTAATAACAATAGATTTTTTTTTTAACTCCATGTTGTCAGTTTTTAATCCAGTGACACCCGATAAGTTATTAGCATTGTTATGGTTATCGTTACTGTTTTTGCCCAGAACTGTTTTTTTTTTTTTTTTTTTTACTTTTTTGATTTAGATTTTATATTATATATATTTTGTTTGACACAGTAATCAGTTATTACTGTGATAACATTTATTATTATTATAGTTTTTATTTATTTATGGACCTTCATTATAAAAACAAAAGATTAACACATCACTTTTTATCCCATTATATTATATAATTGTTGACTAATAATAATTGTTGTTGTTATGGTTTACACAGTTTATTTTCGATGTTGTCATGTTTATTATAAACAATATTACTATCTCTTTAGCTGGTACCACAGAGATGTAGCTGTATGTTTCATTACCAGCCCTTTGTTAGTTTGTATAGCTGTTGAAGTGTGTAATTGCAAGTTTTATTATTCTGCTCTTTTTTTTATGGAAACCATTGATTTGCAAATTCTTTTTCCTAACATTTTTTTTCATATATATTATTAGTAGTCGTAGTAATACATTTTTTTATTGCTTTTGTAACCAATCTTGTCTGTTTTATAATAATATTTTTATAAGCAAATATAATTATTATTTTCTATTTTTTTTTTTTTTTTCCTCCCCAAACCAGTGCAGCAGGTTCACTTTAGTGCCCCCTCCTCAGAGTCATATACTCGCCTTCCTTACAGTAACATTTAGCCACCAGAAGGAAGGACACCCCAACTCCCATGTTATCTGAATTGCTCTGGTTGCAACTTACCCGAGGACGTCCCCCCACCACCGATGTAACAATGCCGGGCCAATCACCAATCACGAAGGCTGTGAGTGGGAAGAGAGCGAGTCACATGTCCCTTCATTATTGGATGGGAAGGTGATGACACGCTAATGAGCTGGGGTCATTAACATGAACTTTGCTCTGCATTGGAAAATCACAGGTTTTGTTTAAATATCATCTTTCTGGAGAATTTGGTATTCAAATATTGGTGTGTGTTGTTATTTTTTTTTGTGTTGTGTGTTGTGTGTTGTTGTGTGTGTGTGTGTGTGTGTTGTTGGTTTTTCCTTTTGTGTGTGTTGTTTTGTGTGTGGTGTTGGTTTTGTGTGTGTGTTGTCGTGTTTTTGTGTGTGTGTTGTCCTGTTTTTGTGTGGGTTTTTTTTTTTTGTGTGTGTCTTTGTTGTGGTTTTTTTTTTTTTTTTTTTTTTTTATCCCAAATTTCAGCTAGCTAAAAACTCAAACCTACAGCTCTGACATCAGCAAAGCTGTGTGCTGATTGGACACTATAATTTTAAATGGGGGCAAGTTGGACTTCTGCAGGGAGACCTTTGCTTCCACAGAAAGCAAAGATCCTTCCTTTCAGCATGCTGGCAGGGGACGGGCTTTTCTACACAAGCTGGGGCTGCTTTTTTACGGAAAACGTACTGCAAGGGATGACGCACACTTTTTTTTTTTTTTTTTTGTAATATTTTAAGCTGGTCTACACTAACATTTTTGGAGGGCTAAGAGCAGGGAATTTATGGTGCTTGCTTTACAATGCAACTCTTTTTAGTTTTCTGTTCTCCAGGTAAATGTAAATGAGTGTTTTGTAAATTTCCATTCCGTGTTGTGTAAGTATTTGTTTAGCCCGCAGGCGGCCATATTTGCATGTTAACGTATGCAGTCTGTTCTCTTTTGCTCATTTGTGTTTTGAATTCGCTACGGTTGGAATTTCTGGTTGGTGTGAGCGGCGTGTTACTCTATTAAATCTGGTAGTATTGTACATTACCAGGCCCCACCATGGAAGAAATGGGGAGTGCCGTATGTAGGATGTATATTATTATTATACAGGATTTATATAGCGCCAACAGTTTGCGCAGCGCTTTACATTATAAATGATTGCATATGATGGTGCAGGGACCATATATTACGTCGTCCAGTTGAGTCTTATCAACCAGTGACAGAATACAGGGTGTCATAGCCCACCCCCTTCCCGACTTTAATCCCCCACAACACCCTATCCTGTCTCGGCAACATCACCTACCACAATATTTGTCTTTAGTGCCATTGTGATCCAACAGGTTCACTCTCTGACTGCTGGTCATGATGGGTGGCCGAAAGGCAGATGACTGTATGTTGTGAAAACTGCTGTTGGTGTAATGGGGAGGGCCAGAGGCTCTGGCGGCCTATTGCCTACTAGACGAATGATCCACAGGAAAGTGACTTTTGGAGGAGGGTCCCCATTGGTGAACTCAGAAGCCACATACTTATTTATATCTTGGCTACCATGCACAGCTACACCAGTTTCTTATGCAGGCCATAGAT